AGCCCGCGCGAGAGCAACGTTGAAGCGGCGGGGGCGATCGAATCGAGGTGCCCAATGGCGTGGCCATTGGAGCGCACGCAAGAGATGATGAGCAAGTCAGCCTCGCCCCCTTGCATCTGATCAATCGCGCGAATCCGAACATTGGGTCACGTTCCCAGCAGCTGGGCCGGCCGGAGCGGACAAATCCTGGGGGGGTAAGAATTGTCCGCTCCGGCCGGCTCCTACTGTTAGCAGCAACGTAACCGTGGCGATGCCCGCGCCCGTTTTTCGGACACGTTCGCAAGACAGCCTTGCGACGAACAAGATAGTTGCAGCACGTTTTGCAAGGCGAGTTGTGCATGTCATCGCTGTCCGCTCCAATGTCCTGCTATTGCTCGAGTCTTGTTTGATATTTTACACCGAACAACACAAAACAAAAACACAAACAAAAATCCAAAATTAAAAAATAGAGATATATAATATTTTTTATTTTTATTTTTTTTTTAAAAAAAAAAAAAAAAAAAAAAAAAAAAAAAAAAAAAAAAAAAAAAAAAAAAAAAAAAAACAAAAACTTCCGCAGCATCTGGGGAAAGGAGGGGTGCTCTAACAGAGAAGAGCGCGAGCGGCGGCAGGGCAGAGGGGGGCGGTGGACTGATCGGGGACACGAGGCAGAGGCCAGGCGGCGGGCGCATCTGCCAGAGGGGGGGGGGGTGAGCATGCTACGCATGGAATGAATTCAATGGAAATCAATTGTAGTGGATCCGCGAGTGGATCAATCTAGACTGATGAGGCGATGATGCCTCTTTTGATTCTGAGCTGGCTATGATGCCCGCTCGTGCCCACCCCGTTCCGTTTTCAGGGACTTCGCATCCTCCTATGATGGTAAGATGGGAAGACGGGCCGCCGCCCCTGGCACTGCACGTACGGTGCCAGGTTTGTGGGGATTGGGTTCGACCCCCGCAGTTCCGATGATGGAAACGCGAAGGGTGTGAGGCCTCATGGTGGTCCTCACTGGCAAGGCCTATGATGGTCCTCACCGGGAGGGGAGAGGGCAAGGGCGGACCAGGAGGAGGAGGAGGAGAAGGAGGAGGAGGACGATGACAAGAAAGTTGAGTTCAATGAGCACATTGAGCGCGAAGGCCTATGATGGTCCTTCTTCCTCAAACGAGCCTTGCTGATGGCCCCGAATTGGGTGCGAGGTGCCTATGATGGCCCCTCTGGTTGCCTATGATGGCGGCACTAGACGACCGGCAGGGGACTGGGTCCCGTTCACGGTCCATTAGGGGTGAGCATGCTACGCATGGAATGAATTCAATGGAAATAAATTGTAGTGGATCCGTGAGTGGATCAATCTAGACTGATGAGGCTATGATGCCTCTTTTGATTCTGAGCTGGCTATGATGCCCGCTCGTGCCCACCCCGTCCCGTCTTCAGGGACTTCACATCCTCCTATGATGGTAAGATGGGAAGACGGGCCGCCGCCCCTGGCACTGCACGTACGGCGCCAGCTTTGTGGGGGATGGGTTCGACCCCCGCAGTTCCGATGATGGAAACTGCGAAGGGTGTGAGGCCTTATGGTGGTCCTCACTGGTAAGGCCTATGACGGTCCTCACCGGGGGGGGAGAGGGCAAGGGCGGACCAGGAGGAGGAGGAGAAGGAGGAGGAGGACGATGACAAGAAAGTTGAGTTCAATGAGCACAGTGAGCGCGAAGGCCTATGATGGTCCTCCTTCCTCTAACGAGCCTTGCTGATGGCCCCGAGTTGGGTGCGAGGTGCCTATGATGGCCCCTCTGGTTGCCTATCATGGCGGCACTAGACGACCGGCAGGGGACTGGGTCCCGTTCACGGTCCATTAGGGGTGAGCATGCTACGCATGGAATGAATTCAATGGAAATAAATTGTAGTGGATCCGTGAGTGGATCAATCTAGACTGATGAGGCTATGATGCCTCTTTTGATTCTGAGCTGGCTATGATGCCCGCTCGTGCCCACCCCGTCCCGTCTTCAGGGACTTCGCATCCTCCTATGATGGTAAGATGGGAAGACGGGCCGCCGCCCCTGGCACTGCACGTACGGTGCCAGGTTTGTGGGGATTGGGTTCGACCCCCGCAGTTCCGATGATGGAAACTGCGAAGGGTGTGAGGCCTCATGGTGGTCCTCACTTATGATGGTCCTCACCGGGGGGGGAGAGGGCAAGGGCGGACCAGGAGGAGGAGGAGGAGAAGGAGGAGGAGGACGATGACAAGAAAGTTGAGTTCAATGAGCACACTGAGCGTGAAGGCCTATGATAGTCCTTCTTCCTCAAACGAGCCTTGCTGATGGCCCCGAATAGGGTGCGAGGTGCCTATGATGGCCCCTCTGGTTGCCTATGATGGCGGCACTAGACGACCGGCAGGGGACTGGGTCCCGTTCACGGTCCATTAGGGGTGAGCATGCTACCCATGGAATGAATTCAATGGAAATTAATTGTAGTGGATCCGTGAGTGGATCAATCTAGACTGATGAGGCTATGATGCCTCTTTTTGAATGTTTGAGCCGGCTACTGCGCTGCAGGCTCCCACGGCGTGGCAGGCGTGGCATTTCCTCGACGCCACAGGGGGTGCGCTGGGGGTGGGGGCCCTATGCGCTGCAGGCTCCCAGGGCGTGGCAGGCGTGGCATGTCGTCGACGCCACAGGGGGTGCGCTGGGAGGTAGGAGGAGGAGGTACAGGAGGAGGAGGAGGAGAAGGAGGAGGAGGAGGAGGAGGAGGAGGAGGCGGAGGAGGAGGAGGAGGAGGAGGACGAGGAGGACGGGGAGGTGGGGCAGCAGCAGCGGCAGCAGCAGCAGCAGCTGCAGCAGCAGACGCAGCAGCAGCAGCAGCAGCAGCAGCAGCAGCAACAGCAGCAGAAGCAGCAGCAAGAGGAGGACACCGAAGAGGAGAAGGAGGAGCAGCAGCAAAAGCACCGATGGTACACATGGGAAATAAAATAGGTATGTGGGGTTCCTCGGTAGCGTAATGGTGTGTCCGAACAAATTTTGGGAGCGACCTGGAGCCCGCTTAGGCGATTGTGGGCGCCTCGTGGGCCGTCTTGGCGCCCGCTTTTGGTGTCCTAGGGCCCTGCTGGGCGCCTCTTGTGCCGTCTCCGCGCGTCGGGCAGCGGAGCAGGCGACCACACGAAAACAATAAAGAAATCAATGATTTTCGCCCCTGGAGCCGTCTCGGGGATGAGCTTCAAGCCTTCTGGGTCGCCTCGGAGGCTGCCTGAGACCGCATCGGAGCAAGCATGGGCATGCTGGGGCCGTTTTGGGCCCTGAGGGCCTTGTTTAGGGCCCTTGTGGCGTGTCCGAACTCATTAGGGGCGCCGCCCGGAGCCCTCTGGAGCGATTGTGGGCGCCCCTTGGGCCGTCTTGGCTCCCGCTTGCGATGTCTTGGGGCCCTCTTGGGCGCCTCTTGTGCTGTCTCTGGGCGTCGGGCAGCAAAACAGGCGACCCCAAGAGAATCCTTGAAAAATACTCGGGCAATCAATGATATTCGCCCCTGGGGACTCTCTCGGGGATCAGTCTCTTGGGGGGTCTTGCCGGCCACGACAGTCGTCTCGAAGCAATGGTGGGCGTGCTGGGAGTGCTGTGAAGCTTTCTAGCTCCCTTGAGGACCCAGGACGCCCAGAGTTGCCGAAAAGGTTGTTCCAAGACGTTCAAGATGGCCTCAAAATGCACCAAGAGGCTTCTAAAACGCCCCACGAGGCCCCCACCTCCCAGGAGGCCCCAAGAGGCAAACATGATCGATGTCCCTTGGGTTTTGAAAGATGTTGGCGTTCTCGCCTGTCTGCTTTCCGACGCTCCAAGACGGCCCAAGAGGCCCCCAAGAGGGCCCCAAGACGGCCCAAGAGGCCTCCAAGAGGGCCCCAAGACGGCCTGAGAGCGCCCCCAAGTCGGCCCAAGAGGCGCTTAAGAGTGCCCAAGAGGGCTCCAAGACGGCCCCAAAAAAGGCTCAAGAGAGGGAGCCCGAACCGAAAATCCGGGACTTCCACTCCAAGTGGTCCAAACGATACCCCTAAGAGGCGGCCAAACGATACCCCTAAGAGGCCTCAGAATTGCCTCCAAGAGGCCCCCGAGAAACCTCACACGAGATCCCAACGAACATTCAATAAGCTTCATACCCACAACCCAGGCACCTTGGCGCAATGTGCCGAAGGCCAGAGATACTGAAAGCGTGTACAATGTTTGTTGTATACTGATGCCATCATCGCCCGTCAGCGCACGGCTGATGTATACCACATGACACATGCACTTGGACTCAAGTTCACCTCATGTCGTACGCACGCACGTGTGCAACACTCCGTCTGGGAATACATGTACTCTCATACGTCCAGAGAGCCATACCACAACGTACATGGAAATCAGCACGTATATATTCTCGACAACGGATATACCAGCGCCAATGCTGAAGTACCCCTCCCAAGAATCGCATCCAAAGACAGTGCCCACTTGCGGAGAACAGACCTTGAAAGCAAACGATGGGTAAAGCATATCCAGTTTTGTTCCTGGCCTTGACTAGACTCGGCTCCGACCTAGATCAAAGGAGCGACCCGTGGTCCTGATTTCAGTGTCTCCAGTGTTGATCGCCCAGGCCGCCTAGCTTCGTCGACGCATCGCCGATGCATCGGCGCCGCCGGCGTGGAACAACAAACAACTCCACATGGCTGGTTCCGGAAACCCTTGAACCAGAAATATCGCCATCGCTTTGGGGCGCATTCTTTCTTCTGCCGCCTTCCGCCGAAATTCCGCCGGCTTCCGCCAGCGGAGCCGCCCTCGCGCGCCCCTCCGCCCCGCCACGCCACGCCGAGGGCGGCCCCGGCGGGGCGAGGCGGCACGGAGGGCCCGCGGCGCTGTGTCCAGAGGGCAGAACATCCACCCCCAGAAAGATCACCCCGACACGCGGAGCCGTTCAGCAAACGCACCCCAAGAAGGAATCCAACGGGGCAGGGCCGTTGGGTAAACGCCCAGGGCTGTTCCGCGAGCGCCAAGTGTCGGGTCCTTCCTCCCTCGACTTTCCCCCCTCGCGATGCCGCGCGGGGCCGCGGCCGCCGCGGAGCGTCGACGCGCGGCCGCGCGCCCCGGGAGCCGCGACGGGCGCGCTCAGCCCGGGCGGGCCCTCTTCGCGGGAGGCCCGGCGCCTGGCGGGCGGCGCGCGCGCGAGAGAAAGCCCGAGGCCTCCACGGGGCTCCTGTTGCTCCCACCGTGCTCAAGCGGCACATCCCAAACATAATTTCGAGCACCCCGATAAGTATTACTTATCGAAACGGTGTCGAACGAGTCTCGCTTCCCAGGGCCCAGCACGTGGAAACCCTCAAGTTTCGGTACTTCCTTGGTGCTCGAAACTCTTGACGGTGATCAACGCTACAGTAGATTGGAACATCATACCACGGGGCTCCACATCGAGCCGCATCGCCGATGCATCGGCGATGCGGCGCGATCCTCCGACGCAACCCCAACCTCTCGGGCCCCATGCGAAAGGCCTGCAAGCCTTCTACACACCCCGCCAGGCCTGAGTCGACGATGTCTCCGGCCAGCACCTCTCCCACACAGAGCTTGCCAGGATTCCGGGAGTCAGGTCTGGTGCTGACGAGGAGGCGGGAACCCACGGCGAGGCTGCCAGCGCCCCCGAACATGCTCCGGTGGATGTAGGCCCTCCTGCCGTCCTTACAGGACATGAACGCACACTTTCGAGGTGCGTGCGGATTTCTTGGCGCCAGGGGCGGCGCCGGAGGCGCCGCCAGGGGGGCCCCAGCGCGGATCTCCGAAGATTTATGCCTATGCGATTATTCTTGCTCTATTGTGCGGAGCGTACACATTTAACATGCCCGCGGCCGGAACACGAAGTACATGCGATTCCCCCCTGTGGCCTGCTGGTCACACAAACTGGCTCCACGCTCTTCACCCATGCTGTCCCATCTTCCTACTAAAGCATTCTTTCTATTATTCGGGATCGCGCGAGTGACTGGCTGCGTCCCCCACCACATGGTCACGTCACGATTCGTGGTGGCGCCATCAGGGAACTAGCCATCCCTAGGCAGTCCCAGACGGCGCCAGCGCGAATCGTGACATGACTGGCCTCTTCTCCCACCTCCCCACCACCGTGGCCACGCCAGGGATCAAACAGGGGCTGCCCTGGTTTATGTTTAGGCTATTTGCTCCTCGGTCAAGCGCCTAGGCGGCGCCGTGCCCTGCTCAGGCGCGTGCACCTAATGAGGGGTGGCGGGGGGGGAACCGCTGGTCACGAGTTTGCTTGTGCTATTTGCTCCTCCTCGAGTCCTCCATGTCGAGGAAGCCGTAACCGCCGTCCTCGTTCCAGCTGGCCACGGTGCCGCTCGCGGTGTCGCCCATGGGGGGTGCGGCGCCCTGCGGCGCCCCCGGCGGCTGCGCCACAACCTGGTCGACCGTCCACTTGCCGGGGTTCCTGTGGGCGTCGCTTGGCCGATCCTTTCCCCGCCTAGATGGGATATGTGATCCAGGATCGAGGATTCACAAGCGCCCCCCCCCATAGGATGGGCCCCGGGCTCTTCAGGACCCCCCCCCCTAAGATGGGATGGGGGACGACAAGGACGACGACGACGACGACGACGACGACGACGACGACGACGACGACGACGACGACGACGACGACGACGACGACGACGACGACGACGACGACGACTACGGACGCGGACGCCGACACCGAAGCTGAAGCCGAAGACGACCTCAGGGAACGAATCCCACGGGACCCTTCGACCTTGTCTTGGAGAGCTTTCGGCAAACGCAGCGGAATGTCATCCCTACACTACGCCACGCCAACAAGGCCACGACCACAGCGGGGGGTACCCATCCAGACAGAGGGGCTCGACCCCTCTGCCATTGAGGGGGGGTTCTGGAACCCTGGATCATCTATGACTGTTGTTTCGCGGGGCCCATCCCCAGCCAGGAGGGTGGACTGGTGGGGCCGAGATGCCCTGGCCCACTGGCGATGGGGATCAATTCGACGATGCTGATCCTGGGGTCCGGCTTGACGGTCACTCGCATGGTGGAGCCCACCGCCAGGCCCTGGCAGCGGCAGAGGGAGCACAGACTGCACAAAAACACTGGCTTTGGGAGATCCGCGCGGCTCTCTCGCATCGGCGCTCGGTCTCCCCTCCTTCCCTGGCACGTGGAGCGCACCAGGGGCGGCGCCGGAAGCGGCGCCAGAGGCGGTGCCGAAGGGAACCCAGCGCCGACCCGAGAGATCCTCGCTGACTTCTGATGATTTTTAGACTCATGCCTACTGGATCTTCTCTTCAGTGTGGGCAGGCGCAAGGGGCAACGACGCCACCAGCATCAACACCACCACCACCACCACCACCACCACCACCACCACCACCACCATCACCACCGCGGAGAGCCGGAGAGGGTCTAATTACCCAGTGGCGTGGCGTCCCCGCCTCTTCGGCGCCGCACGCGGGGCATTGCTAGCTGCCAGCCCAGGGGGAAGCATCGTGGGCCCTCCTCATCCGTGGTGGCACTGCAGGTGGTGGTGGCGGTGCCGCTCCTCCTCCCCCCCTGGCCTGGCCTGGCCAGGGAGCTGCCCGAGCATGCTCCTGTGGATGAAGGCCCGCCGTCCGTCGCCCGTCGTCAGGAAGCCGTAACCGCCCGCCTCTAGAAGGAAGGAACCGCTGCACGAGCATAAACTGTCGACGGTCCGCGCGGACTGCCTGGATGTGCGCTGGACCTCCCTCCCCGGCGCACGATGCGCGCCAGGGGCGGCGCCGGAGGCGCCGCCAGGGATGTCCAACGCAGATGCAAGAAATCCGAGCGGGCCGTCGATAGCTGCGTTTATCAACTTCTTCCATCGAGCCTCGTTCCACTCGCTGACGACCGCGTCCTCCCCGCCCTGGACGGCGTGGCCGAGGCTCGCCAGCGTCTGCCCGCCCGCCAGGGCCCCCGAGCTCATCAGGCTCCCGACGGCGGCGGCCAGGCTCCGCTGCAGGTCCGCCTGCACAGCCAGGCCCACTCATCACGAGGCGTGGAGTGCACGGGGGCAGGGCGCCTGGAACGCGGCGGGATCCCCTGGTGCCCTCGGACCGGGGAGGGACAAGGAGGGCACGCAGATGGTGCCCGGGCGCGAGGGATGCAAGGGCGCCCCACTCTTCAGAGGCCCATCCACGCGACTGTGGCCAATCTGGCCGTGGAAGGGAAACGGCCGTGCAAACATCAGCTTTCGGCGATCCGAGCGGCTCTCTTTACACGGCGCTGGTCTACCCCTGCCGCCGCCCTTGGTGCGCTTCGCGCGCCACTGGGGAGGGGAGCCCCAGCGCACAACGCCGAGAGGTGCGCGCAGCCCTCTCCTAATTTTGTGGCGTGCGCAACTCGGCGTCCTCCTGTCTACGGCAGGTCGACGCCGCCCCGCACTCGCTGACATGGGGCTGCCCTGCGGCCCGGCCGCCCCTGCGCGCCCCCCCGCGGCCCCGCCGCGTGAGTGCACTCTCTCGTCTCGCCTCCTGCCTCCGCGGCCCCCTCTCGTCTTTCCCCCCTCCTCTTGCACGCTGGACAATTCGCAAGACCGAGTTGCTTGGACGCGCGAGCGGCTTGACCATCGTTGAACCGATCCCCATCCCCAGCGGCGTGGCCTAGTCCCCACTGGCCGAGTTGCCCCCCTAGATGAGGATATAGGTCGTTCCCTTCGGGTTTCGAGGGGATGGGGATGGGGGTCGGTTACACGATACTGGCGGATCGCCTCTACCGCGCCGCGACGGAGAAGTCTCTGCGGCAGGCCTGCCTCCACGGCCGCCGACGGGGCCACCCGCACGTTCACCGCCACCCAGCTGCCCGGGCTCGAGGCGTCGCCCGCCACGTCGCCGACCACGGCGTCGCCTGGCGAGGCGAGCGTCTCGAGAGGTGGCGGCGCAACGGCAGCAGCAGCACAGGCAGGCGCAGGGACGCGGAGGAGAAGGAGGAGGAGGAGGAGGAGCAGGAGGACGAGGAGGAGGAAAGTAGAGGTGTGGGAGAAACGATGCACAAGGGAGGAGGAGGAGGAGGAGGAGGAGGAGGAGCAGGAGCAGGAGCAGGAGGAGGAGGAAAGCAGAGGTGTGGGAGGCATGGCCGTCGTGCCACGAGCAACGGTGCACAAGGACCGCCAGGGCTTCTCTTCTGGCCACGGCGAGCTCCAGCCACGGCTGGAATCCCCGACCTGGCTCCGAGTCGCGGCCCGCAAACCAGCCCCTAAAGGTATGTCGTCGTCGTCGACGATAGTCTCGACTGCGCGCTCTTATGCTATGCCGCCATGGTGGTCCTCCAGAAGGGAGCTCCGGCGGCAAGTCGGGACGTGCGGGTCTGGGGACCCCTGATGGGTCTGTGATGACGAGGCGAGGGGGCAAAGACGAGCAGGAGCATGGGGAAGAGAAGGACAAACATTAGGAAGAGAAGGGAAGAGGCGGATTCATCGGCGAGAGCAGGGGAGGACGGCCAAGGCCGAGTTGAACGAGAATGATGTCATGATGCGATGGGCTCAAGACACGTTCCAAGAATTCCAGAACTCCTCGTTTCTGGAAGCGTTGCGGAACAAGTCGAACATCGCGGAATCGCTTTTGGAAATCAGGAAACTATCATGATCATGACTTCTCGCTCCTCTGACCGAAGGCGAAGGCGGCAGTCAGAGGCGGAGGGCGCAGCAGGGAGGGAGGGAGGGGTGGTGGTGAACTGATGAACATGCTTCCGATGCTGTTTTGAAAGTGTGCGCAATCCTAAGCAGAACAATCAACAATGATACATGACACTACCCATGCGTGGTCTATCGATTATACCAAACAAGTCATCGCTTGGCAACGCATGGCAACGAATGCTGCTTGATAGTACGATGGCGCACCACATATTCGTGCACCATTCTGCGAAGAGGATCTGTCTGATTGTATGTGAGTGAGAGTGGGCAGCTGTAGGCCAACGTTGGGAGACGAGATAAGAACAATCTCGTGGTCGACAATGCGAACACGTGGAAATAACGATGTGCAACTACTGCCTATGTCTGTGCTACCTCGCAATGCATGGTGGCAGAGATGAGGCGGCCGCGCTTGTATGTAGGAATGTTAGCCGGACAAGGCCTTGAGATCCCCCCCAACAATTGGGAACTGATTATCTTTTCGGCGACCTTATTGACGAACTCCGGCCCCACAATAACGATGATTACGACAATGACGACAATGACTACAATGACGATTACCCGCGGCACCCGCCGCACAATAACGACAATGACGACAACGACTACGATTACGACTACGAGCACGATACGGTAACGGCTTTGACTACGAAGTCTACTACTATGACTACGCAAAGCCTTTGGCGAATCATCCTCTTATAAACGTGCTCATAGTCCATCTGTCGTGCAGGGTAGCCCAAGAAGAATTATTCGCTGGGAGACAGAACACCCCAATAATTATCCAGCGCGACGAACATTACAATGAAACTAATCGGTGGCCCGCCACGAGGGCGCCGACGACAAAGATGTATGTGTAGATTCTACAGAAGTCGGCATATACAATAATCGCACTGCACCTACGACGAGGAGATTGCGACCAACGCCTTCGGCGACGAATGTGTCGATCTATAGCGCAACCCTCTCACAAACGTGCTCAGGATTCCTCTTGTCGTGCAGGGGAGCCTAGGCAGCATTACTCGCTGGGAGAAAGAAACCCCCAACATCATCCAGTGCGGAGAATATTAGTGGGAAACTAATCGGTGACCCGCGACGCGGACGCCGACGACAAAGAATGAGACGAGGAGGAGGAGGAGGAGGTCGAGGAAGAGGAGCAGGAGGAAGAGGAGGAGGGAGGCAAGAGGAGGAGCAGGAGGAGGAGGAGGAGGAAGAGAAGGTACGACATTTTCCCCGCCGAGAGAAACAGGGGATGGGTGGGCATCAAAACTAAAGACCTCCTGAGTCTAAATCTAGACGCGATGTGCAAACCACGCGCGCACCGCTGGCACAAGACACGCCAGGCCCACTGGGTCCACGACCCATGCAGAACTTTACGCTGCCACCTGCCGTGCCGCCAATGCTCTCAACATCACCCTGCCCCTCATACTCCACAACCCCCCGCTTCGCTGCTTCATCACCCACATCACTCTCCTCGTGCTCCTCTGTTCCCGGAACTGCCCCATGGAACCAACAAGTAGGACCAACGACGTTACCCTCCCCACGTTTTCGAACTGAAGAGGCCGGGGTGCCTGTCCGCAGCTCTGCTCCGAGTACCGCGTCCCTCGGGCGGCGGGGGAGCAAGGACACAGTCGGTTTGGGAACATTCTGGCGATGTCCGACGGGTAAGAAAGGACCACGACGAAGCAGCACGAGCGCTGGAACAGACAACGGACATCGCGCAAGACGGCGCGGCGACCCCACGGAGCGCGGACCGCCAACGCGGCGCGCCGCGCGGAGAGACGAGGGCGCTCACGCGCGGCTTTGCGCGGGCAACTTGCGTGCGAATGGCTGGCGGCCGCGCGGCTGGCCTGGTCTTCCGGCCCCGCCTCAAGGTAACCATGGGGGGACAGCGGGGCGCACAGAGCGAGTGCGGTGGGCGTGATCCGCCACGATGGCGTCGAAATGAATTGGCCAAGTGCACGCTGGCACGGAAGCTGTTGGCCAGGCCCGCCCTCCGCCCAGCAAGACCGGAGGATGTGGACGAATAGAAAAGAAGTCCAGCCTGTACATCCGAAACGGCAAAGAACGGGCAAACCGCAGGACCCGTCACCCTCGGGACCCGCTTGCTGCAGGGCGGCGCGAAATAGCGGATATACTGACCCAGGTCAATCCAGACCCCGGCCACTCAGGCTTTGCAGGGGCCAACAAAAACCTGAAAGATCCTGCACGCGACCCTGGCCCTGCAAGATCGTGCAAGATCCGGCGCTATGGCGGACCTCCGTTTTTTGTTGTACAAAAACAAACCCCGACCGTCCTGGCAGTCCCAGATGCCTACCACGACATGTTCTAAGAACCCAACCAATGTTCCAAACACAAAGCGAAGTTGTGAGGGCGAAAACCCGATACAACCTCGACCAGAAATGTTCTAAAAACGTTTCGTGCAGACCGCAACATGTTCTTAGAACGTTTTTTTGGTGGCGCTATAGGCAAGCCAGGAAGCTTTGCCACTGCTCGACGTTTGTCTTAACGCTCGTCCGTTGAGCCCCGATCGCGCTGCGCGCGCGCAGCGACAGCCTGAGGACGCGGGCCCTCCTGCCGTCCTGGAACTGGATGTACCCGAAACCTGGCGATGCCCGGCGGGGGGCGCGCGCCGCGCCTCGCACCCATGTGCGCCCAGGCACCCTCGCGCCCACCTCCTCGTCCACCTCCTCGTGTTCTAGGCCATGGCTTCGTAAGACCGCGTGAACAAAACGGTCAAGGAGTGGAGCGGAATGGTTAGACATGGCAATGGGTAGAGACAAGAGCGTTGTATCCCGGCGCCTCAGATCGAGTGCCAGCAACGCCGCCGACAATGGCAGATTGGGCTGCCCTGCCTTGAGCCAGGACGGCAAGGGAATCAGGCAAACTTGCGTCCCCCCTTGGGAAATACCCTCAGTCGAAGGTTTGGGAGGGAACGATGCCTGACCGCTGCGGTCCTGCCGCCAAACGCGGCTACCTCACCTGCAGTGAGGCAAAGGCCAGGAAAACACGAGAGTGCGAAGTACTGCGTCATGTCTCCATGAAACAGTTGACTTAGCACCTCAATGACCTCAATGTGGAAACAACAAAGGTAGGCTGAGCAAGTGTCGATTCTGCTCGGCTCGCCAGAATGCAAACCAGAAAACTCTGGAATGACGATGGGGCTAATCCCACATCGGGCAGAAAGATTGCAAGCTAAAGCCAAACGCCGAATTAACTCCTCAGCGCAAGGCTGGCTCAAGGAACGCGGGCGCACGTTCACTTCCTGGCCGTCGTGTGTCCACAACATAAAACAGGCACGAAGAGCGCGGGCACGCGCTCACTTTGGGCCGTCGCGATTCCACGACAGCACTGTGTGGGTCGAGTGTCCTCGCGCGTCGGAAGTCTACGTGGTCGGGGGAGTGGGCGCCGTGGTAGCGCAGTGGTAAGTACCCACATGGCGGTAGATCTCGAAATTGGCCACGTTGCTCTTGTCGTCGAAGTCCCGCAGGTACTCGCCACGGTGCAGATCGTATGCCGGGGCGGCGGTGTGCAGAGCTGCCGCGGATGCAGCAGCTCCGCTACCAACTCTGGAAAAAAAGGTCTCCAAGTCATGAGTCTATAAAGACCACGTAAATGGTACGGTCTAGGAGTGGAACGGGATGGTAGGAGATGGCGATGGGTAGGGAGTGAAACACTTTGTCACTCCAGCGCGTCTGATCGAGAACCGACAACGCCGTCGATACTGGCAGACTGGGCGGCACTGCCCTGAGCCAGGCGGGCAGCGAAATCAGGCAAACTTGCGTCCCCCCCCTGGAACATACCCACACACCCCTCGTCCTCCTCGCCTCATCGTCCACCTCCTCGTGCTCCTCGTCCACCTCCTCGTCTTCCTCGTCCACCTCCTCGCCCTCCTCGTCCTCCCTCGTTCGCCTCCTCGCCCCCTGTCCTCCCTCGTCCTCCGTCTCCCCCTCCTCTTCGTCCTGGCCATGACTGTAATCATTGCGATCATCACCACGGCGCAGCGGTCTGCACATCACTACCGATCCTGGCAGGGCGATCCTGGGCCCAGTATCGGTGTTCACTTCCTCCTGGCCCGGCCAAGAGGGCACACGCACCAATCCTGAGCCTCTGAGACCGTCCTGGCAAGATCTGCCAAGGAGGCCCCTGCACATCTCTGAACGTACTGGTGCCATCCTGGGCATCCTGAGACCCCCGGAGCGACCTGCAGAAACATCCAGAGAGCTCCGGAAGCACACCCCCGACCCAAAATGGTCAGTCGCCGCCGTCCTCCGGTCCGACGGGAGTTGCGGTTCTCCCCGCCTCGTCCTGCCAAAGAGCTTCAAGCCACTCTTCCTCCCTCACCCGCGCCGCCCTTCCATACGTCGCTTCCCCTACTCCCCTTCCCTCCCATAGTCTTCCCCTCCCGCTCCCGCTCGCGCGCCTTCTCTCGCTCCCTCCCGCCCATCCCTCCTCCACTCTCCCTTCACCTCGGATTCGCATCCTCCTGCCTATGTTTGACAAGATCGCGCGCCTGGGTTCCCGATTCATGAGATGGCGACCCATGATGCCCCGTGCGATGGACACCCCAGACTCACTCCGCAATCATAGCGTTCTGTCCTTGCAGCCTCATCCTGCCAAAAACAACCTGTTCACCCTTCATCCCATTACTCCTCACCCCTCCGTCTCCTCCAGACTTTGCGCACTTCTCCCCCTTTTGGGCAATGCTTCCACTTTCAGATGGTACCTCCAACCAAAGATACTTGACTAGGAACCCAACCAGCCATCTTCATGACGACTGATTGAGGGACTAGGTAGCTGGTGGCGGAAACTGATTGTGGCAGCTGTAGTTCGGCGAGGAGGGGAAGTGGCGACGTCGAGGAATAAGGACGAGGGTCAAGAGTTTGGAGTTCCCCTGCACGGGAAGCACCTTCGTTGCCCCTCCAGTCGGTCACGACGCCCTCCAGCGACTGGTCGGGACCGCCTTGCACTTTGCGGGGGAGCATAGGCGAGGACATTCCCCCTCCTCCTCCTCCTCCTGCTCCTCCTGCTGCTCCTGCTGCTGCTGCTGCGCGCCGCTGGGCGTTGGCCTGCGGCGGTGGCGTTGGCGGCGCCGCGCTGTCGTTGGACCTACCGACCTGCTGCAGCGGGTCGCTCTGCCATCCCCGCCTTGGCCCTGTTGCTGCCTCCTGGTGCTGGCCCACCGGCCGCCTCCAGCCGCGCCGCTGCGCTGCTGGGCTGCCCCGAACTCGTGGGAGAGCTCGGCCTGCACAGAATGGCCGTGGTGACCGTGGAGCACCTCTTGGTGCTCGTGGTGACGGTCTCTGCCGTCGCGTGGCTCGCCGAGGAATTGCCGCTCGCCTTCTGAGCCGTGGAAGCCGTGGACTGCTTCGTGTTTGCTGTCGGAGGGCCTGGCTCCTCAGGTGGAGGCCAAGCCCCCCGTAGCGGGATGGACGGCAACTTCCCTTCTGAGCCTCGCTCTTCTTCCTCCTCCTCCTCCTCCTCCTCCTCCTCCTCCTCCTCCTCTTTCAACTTACACCAACTCTTCCTGCTTCTCATTCTCTTCTCTCTCCGTACCCGTCATCTTCATCCTCTTCTGCTTCCGCATCCTTGCCGTCATCCCTTGCCCTCAAGCATCGTCACGTGATCCAACCAACGTCTCCCCCCTCGGGAAAGGTTTACCTCTCCCAGTGCCCCTCAAATGTGTCTGGGCGGGGGTGGTCGAGGTGTCAGTGGGTCATAATTTGCCCCCGACTGCCACAAGGAACCCAATCTGTTCTCCAAGGCAACTCAAAATACCATCCAAAATGCCTTGAGATGTCCCGAGTCCGCCCCGACACGACTCGGAGTGGTCACGGAGACTTCCCAGGACGCCACCGAGAGGCCCAAATCTGGAGACAACGAATGGCCGTTGCGTTATCTCCGTTTCGCTCGCTTCATATATTACATGTCTCTGTTGCTCCCTGCTTGATGTCTCGCCTCTGTCCCTTCCCACCTGCCCGCCCGCGTGCTTCGTCCCGCTGGCCCTGTCCTCCCCTTGCTCGTTCTCCGTTGCCGCACAACACAAACTGCCACGAGACCTTACAATGGCCGCAATATCGTCCCATGCCGTCGCGGCCCCCAGATGGCAACCAGACGGCTTCAAGAGCCTCCCAAGAGAGCCCCAAGATGCGATATCTGTCGGGCTTAGCAGGGGCGGGTGCCAATCGGCGCCGCCTCCTCTGCTCACAACCCGAATCGTTGGGGAAACCAGCGGATTCTGGTAGACTCCGGGCTCTCGGGGAATCCTTGGGAAGATTTGGCACAATATAGCTCTAACATGGCCTCATCTAGCTCTAGATAGCCTGCAATGTGGCGCACTAGGTCCGCCCACCTGCCTCCACATGACCACCCCAAAACGGCTCCACATGGCTTGGGAGCGTCCCGAGGAACCCCCTGAGAGGGCCAACTCCTCAAAACACCTAATGTGTATGTCATTGGTTGGGGGTCTCGCCTTTTCGCTTCTGATGGGCCCCGGAGGCCTGAAGATGGCCCCAAGATCGCTCGAGAGAGCCCGAAGATGGGCCCGTGAGAGGCCCAAGACGACTCCAGGAATCCAACAGCGCCCCAAACTTTTCTGGCTTCAGATGGGCGATGTTAATCTGAACTGCCCCCTCGACTGATGTTTTTGTCCCAACTATCCTGTGGTGTTAGGTTCTCGTTTTGAAGAGGCAGCGCCCAGCGTCTCCTCCCTCTCTTTCCTCTCCTCCTGCCCCCTCCTCCCTCATCCCATCCCTGCCTCTGTTGTCATCACCATTCAACCATGACGGTGCATCCCTCACACGTTTCGTGGCCCCAAAAGGAGCTCCGCCGAAATCCCCCAGTGGACGCGTCCACATGCGCCAACATCATCCATGCCAACACACCCCTCAGACGCTTCGTGGCCCCATAGGGAACTCCACCGATTGCCTCAGTGGCTGCGTGCGCACGCGCCCACCGCGCCCATTTCGGCTCACCGCTCATAAGTTTCGTGGCCCCAATGGCTGCGCTCGCACGCGCCCGCCGCACTCCTTTTCGGCACACCCCTCACACGCTTCGTGGCCCCAGAGGGAGCTCCACCGAGGGCCCTGGTGGCTGCGCTCGCACGCGCGCACCGCACCCTTGCTGGCACACCTCTCACACGTTTCGTGGCCTAATGGGGAACTCCACCGAAGGCGCCAGTGACTGCATTCGCATGCGCCCACCGCTTCCATTTTCGCTCCCCCCCCACGTTTCGTGACCCCACAAGGAGCTCCACCGAAGGTCCATGTGGCTGCGTTCGCATGCGCTAGCCTCACCAATTTCGACCCAGGCTATGTCGCATTTTCCACAAGCAAGACATAATGGAACCCCCAACTCCCCACAGCATTCCTCGAGATGGGTCTATGTGTGAGTCCTCGACTCCAGTCTTTGGATGCTCGAGATGGATACGGCATTGCCTTGTGTCTTGCAAGTGTAATCCCAAACCGACAGCGGCCGCTGTGGGGCAGGCGCCCTCTTGCCGCAAATGGACAGCGCCCGTGGAAACACCGACAGCGAGTCCTGTTCAAACTGAGAAGGAATCGCTGCGATTCTTTGCCCCCGTTCTTTCTGCTCGCACATCGGTTCTCCAGACGAGTCCAAGCGAAAATGCCCAATGCGAACAAAAATGGCGACGCGGCGGCAAGCGCTGCGGGCGCGCCTGCGGCGGCGAAGGCGCCGACGGGGCCCGGCGGCATGAGCGACGCTACCGCGTCCAGCAGACGCTGTGCGGCCGGGTCGGCCGCCTGTTGGGGGCGCGGGGGGAGGGGGGGCAGCCTGAGGATCGAACTTCGAGGACCCAGGAGTCGATCGCCGAACCTCCTCGATCCTCGATCGAGGCGGTCGAATGCTGGGATCGGGGGGGGAGTTCAGCCTCCCCCCACCCGCTTCTGGGCCCCCGGGAGCGAGCACCCCCGTCGCCGCGGCTGGATCCGCCTCGGAATTCTGGTCGGTGCCGCAACCCCTGCGCGAGATGTCTGACGAGAGGAGGGGCGGGGGCGGCTGTGCGGCCAGGGCCGCAGGAGGGAGTGCGGGCCAATGCGTCCTGGCGACGCGCGGCTGTCTTGGAGGAGCCGCCGCAGAACTTGAACTCAGCAGAGGGGAAGGGGAAAAGGGACGACATGAGGGAGGCGACGACGACGAGGCAGACAAAACACACGTCAACGGCAACTTCTGTGCCGAGGGCCTCGCACAGCACGCAACGGCATGCACGCTCGCGGAGGAGAAGGGGAGGAGGAGCTCCTCATCCTCCTCCTCCTCTGCCTCCTCATCTGCAGGTTTGGCTGTGAGCCCTTGTGAGGTGGTTTCAAACAAACCCCCTCAGAGTGCACTGTCCAGCCGCTTCTGTTAGCCCGTCAGCCTGGACGACACGGAGGCCAGCAAAGGAAAGGTAGCAAATCAACTCACTCGACTGGCTTTCCTGCGCGGCAGGGCTGTCGGGCCATGGGGCGGGGAACCCGCGGGAGGAGAGGAGGGACGGCAGGAGGGGGAATTCGGGAATCCTGTGCCGACGGTAGCGTAGAGATGGGCCAGGGCGCTCGTGCGGATGGTGAGGTCAGATTCGCTCTGGACGGTCCCTGGAAGAAAAATAGATTCGCCAAATAGGCCCCCAGACGTGTCGATACAGCTCCACAAGGCCGAAGACACAAGAACCATGCCCTCCAAGGCACCTCACGAAACATGCCCCCCCCCCCCAAACGGCCCCCCAAAGGCCTCTCGTACGCCACGGGCACGCGACTGCACGCGACTGCACGATCCCCCAGGACACCCCGAGACCCTCCAAACTGCGGCCCAAGACGGGGCGGGGAAGACTGCATCGGCCGACCCAGACGACGACCCAATAAGCCCCAGGACGAGCCGAGAGAACCCTGGCCGGTGCCCGCGACGGAGGGCTCCTGGACATGATGCAGCTCGAAAGAATGAAGGGGCCCCAGGACACACAAATTACACTACCGAGGAATCCCACATACTGAATTTAAATCTCATGTGTTTGCTGAAGTTTACGATATATGCGCAATTCTGCGTTCTGAGCCCTCGTCGCGAATGTTCCCCGATGTATCATCCAACGCCATATTGCTTGAACCTCCTCCCTCTTCCTAGCCTTCTATCCTCCATCGATGACAGATTCGAGCCAGCCAGCGGCCGCGGTGAGGGACCACCCCCTGCGCACCCCGTCTGGCGTCGAGAAGGCGCAACGCTTGCTATGCCCTGGACGACCGTCGTGCATAGTGGCCGCGGTGAGGGACCACCCCCTGCGCACCCTCTGTGGTGTTGAGAAAGCGCCACGCGTGCTATGCCCTGGACGACCGTCGTGCATAGCGGCCGCGGTGAGGGACCACCCCCTGCGCACCCCCTATGGTGTCGAGAAAATGCCACGCCTGCTATGCACTGGACGACCGTCGTGCATAGCGGCCGCGCTGCGGGACCACCCCCTGCACACCCCCTATGGTGTCGAGAACATGCCACGCCTGCTATGCCCTGGACGACCGTCGTGCATAGCGGCCGCGGTGAGGGACCACCCCCTGCGCACCCCCTATGGTGTCGAGAAAATGCCACGCCTGCTATGCACTGGACGACCGTCGTGCATAGCGGCCGCGCTGCGGGACCACCCCCTGCGCACCCCCTATGGTGTCGAGAAAATGCCACGCCTGCTATGCCCTGGACGACCGTCGTGCACAGCGGCCGCGCTGAGGGACCACCCCCTGCGCACCCCCTATGGTGTCGAGAACATGCCACGCCTGCTATGGCCTGGACGACCGGCGCGCAGAGCGGCCGCGGTGAGGGACCACCCCCTGCGCACCCCCTATGGTGTAGAGAAAATGCCACGCCTGCTATGCACTGGACGAACGTCGTGTATAGCGGCCGCGGTGAGGGACCACCCCCTGCGCACCCCCAGTGGTGTCGAGAAAATGCCACGCCTGCTATGCCCTGGACGACCGTCGTGCATAGCGGCCGCGGTGCTCTTCCTAGCCTTCTATCCTCCATCGATGACAGATTCGAGCCAGCCAGCGGCCGCGGTGAGGGACCACCCCCTGCGCACCCCGTCTGGCGTCGAGAAGGCGCAACGCTTGCCATTCCCTGGACGACCGTCGTGCATAGTGGCCGCGGTGAGGGACCAACCCCTGCGCACCCTCTGTGGTGCCGAGAAAATGCCACGCGTGCTATGCCCTGGACGACCGTCGTGCATAGCGGCCGCGGTGGGGGACCAACCACTGCGCACCCCCTATGGTGTCGAGAAAATGCCACGCCTGCTATGCACTGGACGACCGTCGTGCATAGCGGCCGCGGTGAGGGACCACCCCCTGCGCACCCCCTATGGTGTCGAGAAAATGCCACGCCTGCTATGCCCTAGACTACCGTCGTGCATAGCGGCCGCGGTGAGGACCACCCCCCCTGCGCACCCCCTATGGTGTCGAGTAAATGCCACGCCTGCTATGCCCTGGACGACCGTCGTGCATAGCGGCCGCGGTGAGGGACCACCCCCTGCGCACCCCCTATGGTGTCGAGAAAATGCCACGCCTGCTATGCCCTGGACGACCGTCGTGCATAGCGGCCGCGGTGAGGGACCACCCCTTGCGCACCCCCTATGGTGTCGAGAAAATACAACGCCTGCCACGCTCCCCGACCCTGGCACGCATAGAGGCCGCGGCCTGCCGTGCCCTGCGCGCTAGCCCTGCGTGCTCTGCTGTGCTGAGCTGTGCTGTGCCGAGCTGAGCCGAGCTGTGCTGTGCTTAGCTGTGCTGAGCTGAGCTGTGCTGAGCTGTGCTGAGCAGTGCTGTGCTGTGCTGCGCTGTGTGAGAAGGGGAGGAGGGAGGAGGAGGTGAAGGTGAACGCGGGTGCGGCGCGGCAGGGAAGAAAACCATAACTCCACGAAGCATATGGGGAATAAAACACAAATCCCAGGATGCCCCACATGTTCCCATGTTTTTTAGGTTTTCGTCTTCCCCCCCACTTCATATTTTCCCATCTCTTCATGGGAATCGACGATTACTGGTGTCTGTGTTTTTTTCTCCTCCTGAAAGGAGGCCCGAGAGACGACGGATCCCTGGCTGCACCACGGCCCCCGGATGATGCCTCACCAGACAGCAAGAGGCCCGTCTGGTAGAGCTTGCAACTGGGGAACGGGCGAAAGCATCGGACACCTGTCGGAACGCCCCCACCCGCTTCTGGGGCCCCCGGGAGCGAACACCCCCGTCGCCTCGGCTGGATCCGCCTCGGAATTCTGGTCGGTGCCGCACTTGCGCGAGATGTCTGACGAGAGGAGGGGCGGCAAGAGCCCATCTGGGAAAACTTGCAATTCGGGAGCGGGCGAAAGCATCGGGCACCTGTGGGAACTGCGCTGGGATCCCCCAGCAGGAGCTGAGCACAGGGAAGCGGAGGACGAGCCCGAGGAGGAGGCGCAGGGGGAGATGGCGGCCTCCGCCCCTCTCCTGGTCGCAGCCCAGTCTTACGACAACCAGGAGGCCCTCAAGCGCGCATTGACCAGGGTGATGCTGCACACTGGGAACCCACGCGAGAGCGTTGCTTCTCTGCTGTTTGAAACTGGCAAATCAGAGGCGCTCTTTTCCTCATCTAGCGGCAGTATGGAAGCCACCAACGGGGCGAAGACCGTAGGTATCCTCCAGAAGACGTGCACCGAGGGCGCCCTTTCGTCGTATGTTGACGGTATCGGTGCCCGATTTGCAACGCCAGAACCTGGCGACAACTTGGCAGACTTTCTGCTGCTTGCGCCGACCAGAAATCCCTCTGGTGGCGTGTTGACCACGGCTTCCTCTTTCGACGCAGGCACGCTGGAGTGCGTTGCCCTTGGCCGCAGGGCCAACAACTCAGTGCAACTGAGCCCTCGCGGGATGGCGTGGCAAAAACCCAATGCCCCCCAAGCCACCGAGCAGGCCCCCCAGAGGCCCTTGGGAAGACTCGAGGCCAAACGAGTCCCCGAACGCCTCCCGGAAGCCCCCAAGTGACCCCAACTGGGCCCTCGCGGGACAGCGCGAGTGGGGTCGGCGTGTGCGTACCAAGACGTACTCCAGGAGCGCAAAGAGAAAGGGTCCTACGCACGAAGACGCGGGCTCCACCTGTAATGGCTTACGCTGGCCTATCAACCGGGACACCTCGTGGAGAAGAACCCTTCGAACGACCTCACTCGGGGGGAATCCGCGCCGCGCAATCAACAACTTCATGCTGCTGAGCGGAATCGCCCAGTACGCCTGTGTACGCCCGAATGGAGAACACACATCTGCAAGTTAGCAGTCTGGGAAGCCCAATGAAAACACGCAGGGACAGAGGGCCAAGACATGGTCGCTGAAAAAGGGGGCAAGTGCACTCAGACAACGAACATCTGCAAGCATGGAAAAGGGGGCAAGGTCGGGCGACGGAAGGTGACCACAATTACTGTTGCGAGTATTTTTTCCGTGACTGTGTTCGGGACAGCCGGCGCGGCTGAGCAGAAGGGGATGTGGGCGCGCACAAATTGGGGGCGGCCAAGAGGGGGGTGTCCAAGAGGGGGGGGCGCAAATCATGGCCAGCGGCACTTGCGCGGCCCAGGGGGGGGCAGGGACGTAATGGAATAAGAAAAGGCGCGATGAAATCTGAGGAAAATCGTGGCCCACGCCATGATATCCATCCCCCCCTAGTCATCACCCCCTCTTGGCCGCCCCCGATCAAACGCTGCTGTCAAACCGTGAGCATGCTGGGCAGAAGGTTTCACGCGTGGCTGCCCTGGCGCCGAGAGCCCGTCCCCCGTGCGCCGCGCCGCCCGGGGAACGGCCCTGTCCGAACCTCGGACGTTCACGGAGCGAACAATCGCATCGATGGTCACCAGAATTTGTGTTACGTCGAGGCGCGGCAGAAGCGCGCGTCGGGGCGAGACAGGGAGACGGAATCGCGAATTAGCCCGCCATAGTCAACGGAACAAGCGAGTGCGTTAGAAAATTCGAATGAGTATAGATCGCGGGCCCAAGTGGTCACTCGCAATTCGTCGACACTGTTGTGCAAACGCATGACTACTGAGGATGGGGGGGGCTTGGCCTGAGAAGGCCCCGTCGGTGAGTAACGCAATTTCTGGTCCGCGCGGATGAGATCGACAATGGTTGCCGCGTTTCCGTTCCAGGACAACACTGAAATTCACTTCAGTGGTCGAACCGTCGAGGAGGAGGAGGAGGGAGTGGTGGGGGGGCACGCGCCAGGATCGGTGAGGGCAATTTGGAAGAGAGCAGGAGGCGGTGCGCGGCACGCAGGCGCACACGCTTTCACGGGCGGGGGCCAGGAGGCCGGAACGCAAACATTGACAGAGCCTCGGGGGGCTGCGAGAGGCGGAGGAAGGGCAGGGCTAGAAAGGACCAGCATGATGTCATCATCGTAGCCCAGGAGGCGTTCCAGGACTTCCAATGAGTATCCAGCGGCCCTGATGTTTTGCAGCCTGTGTGGACGTTAGGACATATGGGACACCCTGGAAGCCTTGGTAATCCTGGACCATATCATTGTCATGACCCATCGCTTCTTTGGCGAGAGGAGCAACAATAATCATCAACACAGAACCTGTCGGAGCTCCGCGCGAATTTGTTTGATCGGCGCGGATGCCCCCTGCCTGGTGCGCGGAGAGCGCCAGGGGCGGCGCCGGAGGCGCTGTCGGGGGGACACAGCGCAGATCTAAGATGTCTGGAGCGGGGCTCCAACAGTGTCTGTCTAGACCACCTCTCCTTCTTCGAGGAAGATAGCAGGAGAAAATTAGAAAACAACCCGCGGAAACTTTTTGCCGTCCCCATGGCGCCCACTAGCACGCGCATTCGCGCGCAGAGCGGACAGCATGCATCTCCCTCACATGGCCCTATTTGGCACTGTTGGGCCCTCGCCGAGCGGTACGCATGCGCCTCGGCGCTTTCTGCGCCGATGCGCATGCAATCCAACACGAGCGGGAGCTTCCGTGATTTACTATCGAAAGAAGGGAGGAGGAGGAGGAGGACGAGGAGGAGGAGCAGGTGGAAGGTGGGGTGGGAGGGGGCGAGGAGGAGGAGGTGGCAGGTGGGGTGGGAGGAGGCGAAGGAGGAGACAGAGGGGCAAGATCCCTGCCGTCGAGCGGGCGGGCTGCCTGGCACTCCGACGCCGCAGCCAAGCAGGCCGGGGAACCGATGCCTCGCAGCGAGGCATCTTCCGCGCTCTTCCCCTCCTCGTTCGTGGCTCGTCCATCTCCCCAGGCCACCAGAACTTCATACATGCCTATACATACATGCATACATGCATACATGCATACATGCATACATGCATACATGCATGCATACATGCACACATGCATACATGCATGCATGCATGCATGCATGCATACATACATACACACATACATACACATACATACATACATACACACATACATACATGCATACATACACATACACACATACATGCATACATAACTAGATGTATGCCTAGCACATACACATAATCTATATGTGCATGCATACCTACATACACATACACATGCATACATGCATGCATGCATGCATGCCTGCATGCATACATGCATGCACACATACACACATACGCATGCGCATACATGTATACACACACAACCATACACATATACAAACATGCATATACTTACACAACCGCAGCACACACGTACACACATACATATACATTTGCGTTGCATGCGCATACACAAATACATACATGCATACATACATACACACAACCATACACACATACAGACACACCTGCACCCATGCATGCGTACACACATACACACATACACACGTATACGGATCTGTATACACATATATGCATATATGTACTACAAACACGCGCGCTTCGCGCGCGCGCAAGTTTCCCCCATTTGCCCCCCTGACGCTGCTCCACTCAATTTTCTCTTTTACTCCTCATCCCCCCTTTCCTGACCTCCGTTCACCCCCCCTTCCCCCATTTCCCGTCCCCCTCCTCCTCCATACCTGGGAAGGCCAGAACTGGATCGTGCACCTCAATATGGTTATTATTATTTTTCTTCCTCTTTTTTTCTTATTCGTCGTATTCGTCTTCTTCTTCTTCCACTGGCCGACCGACATCCCCTACGGCGCATATAAGTTTACAAGCAACACAGGTGCCACCATAACCCACATCCCCCGACACTGTGTTTCAAGCACCGCCTGCAGGGAACACATGACCGCCTGTGTGGCTAGCAACATGCTTCGGCACGATCTGCCACGTGAGACGACGTCGCTCTCTTCGCGAAAACACTTGCCTATGAACACGACCTCAGTACATGACATCGCGGTGTGCAGGCGGATGTGAATCGACACGCTGCAGGCACCTACACATGAGTACACGCGGCCGCTCCGAACCTTTATCTGAAAAAGCCTTGCGTCCAGAAGGAGGAATAGGAGAGGAGGAGGAGGAAGGGTCGGGGGATGACGTGGAGCTGATGCAGAGAGGTACGGAGAAACTGAAGGACATGGGGGGTGCTGAGCAATCCTCGGATTCTGCGCTTGACTGCACCTGCGAACACAAACTGCAAACGCACCCACCTATATGGCTGGCAACATGATTCGGCACGATCAGCCACGTACGATGACTTCGCACTACCCGCATCTCCACTGGACATGCGGGACACAAGAGGGTGACCATGTCGAAGGAGGAAGGGGGCGCGCGCTAGGAGCCTTTCAAACACACGCAAGGTGACTCTGGCCTCTTGGGCCGTCTCAAGCTCCTCCGAGGCGCTCCTGAAGCCGTCCCTTGGGCCGTCTTGTCGCCCACGTCTTGGGCAAGAATGGGCCACTCTGGGCCGTCTTGGCTGCTCTTTGCGTCGTCGCGTGGCCGTCTTGAGCCAATTTTGGACAGTCGTGGGCCGTCATGAGCCTCTCTGGGGAACATATTGGGGCATCTTGGGGCCCTCTTGGGCCTTACCTATACGACCACCCTTCGGGTGGTAAGGAGGTTCGGGGGGGGGGGGAGGAACTCACGTCTCACTCGATCGGTCCCACTATCGATCTCACTATCGGTCTCGCTCGATCGATATCACTCGATGGATCTCACAATCGATCTCACTCGATCTACTTCATTCGGTCGATCTCACAATCGATCTGACTATCGATCTCACTATCGATCTCACTATCGATCCCACAATCGATCCCACATTCGGTCTCACTATCGATCTCACTATCGATATCACAATCGATCTCACAATCAACGTCAAAATCATCATCATCAACATCATCGTCATCCACATCATTATCATCATCATCATCATCATCATCACCAGGACACCACCATCATCACCATCACCTCATCACCATCATCATGACCATCAGCATCAACATCATCATCATCATCATCATCGGGACACCATCATCGTCACCATCATCATCCTCATCATCAACATCATCATCATCATCGGGTAACCATCATCATCATCGGAACACCACAACCATCATCATCTCATCATCATCATCATCATGAACAACATCATCATCATCATCATCATCATCATCATCATCATCATCATCATCATCGGGACACCATCATCATCAGCAGCATCATCATCAACATCATCATCATCATCTTCATCATCATCGGGACACCATCATCATCACCATCATCATCGGGACACCATCATCATCAACATCAACATCATCATCACCATAATCGGGCCACCATCATCAAAATCAAGATCAACACCATCACCTCATCATCATTCTCATCATCAACATCATCATCATCATCATCATCATCATCATCATCATCGGGGCACCATCATCGTCATCATCATCACCATCACCATCACCATCACCATCACCATCATCATCATCATCATCATCATCATCATCATCATCATCATCATCATCATCATCGGGACACCATCATCATCATCACCATAATCATCATCAACCTCATCATCATCATCATCATCATCATCATCATCGGGACGCCATCGTCATCCTCCTCCTCATCATCATCATCATCATCATTATCATCTCATCATCACCCGGACACCACCATCATCATGATCATCAACATCATCATTACCATCACCATCACCATCATCATCATCATCATCATCATCATCATCATCATCATTATCGTCATCGGGACACCATCAACATCAACAACATCATCATCATCATCAACATCATCATCACCGGGACACCATCATCATCACCACCATCACCATCACCATCACCATCACCGACATCATCATCATCATCAACATCATCATCATCATCATCACCACCACCACCACCACCACCACCACCACCACCACCACCACCACCACCACCACCACCACCACCACCACCACCACCACCACCACATCATCATCATCATCATCATCATCATCATCATCATCATCATCATCATCATCATCATCATCATCATCATCATCATCATCATCATCATCATCATCATCATCATCATCATCATCATCATCATCATCATCATCATCATCATCATCGGGACACCGACGGGATACCGGCGGGACACCGCGCCCCACCGGCCCCTGGTCAGGAAACATTTGGTCCGGCCGCGCCTCAGCCGGAGGCGGGACACCGGCGGGACACCGCGCCCCACCGACCCCCGGTCAGGAAACATTTGGTCCAGCCGCGCCTCAGCCGGAGGAGACTCTCTTCTCGCCCGCCCACGCAGCTTTGCTTCGCCCGCACGCACGGCACGCACGAACACGAAACCGAAACCGATTTCCCGGTAGGGGGGCTCTCCGTTCCACTTCGATCTCACCCCCTCACCTCCGATTTAGCTGTAATTGTACCGTTGTTGGCACCCCTTTTTCGGGCCGTCTTGGGATAATCTGGGGTGCCTCCTGGGCCATCTCGGCTGTTCTGCAGACAAAGAAAGCGAGCACGCTAAAATCACTGAAAAGCAATTGGAAAGTCATGGATTTTCACCTCTCGGAGGCCTCTTGGAGTCACTCGTGGAGCGTTCAAGGCGGGTCCTGGGCCTTCTTGGAGGCGTGTAGAAGCGCTGTGGGCGCCATATTGGGTCGTCTACGACACGTCTTGGCTACATAGGTGGTCTCCCGGCGCCATTCGGATGTCGAGATCGTGACTTCGACTACCCTTGAAGCTGATATAACCGCCCAGAACTCCCAAAAACAAGCCCTGGACCCCATTTATCATTGTGTCCCCGCTGGGGGAACACGAAATACCTCGCCAGACAGCGGAAAACCAGTATGGAAACGCTTCTGGGGAACTCCTGTGAGGACCTCTAAGTTTAGGCACTCCTGACACCTCTCCTTCTCAGAGTCTCAAAAGCATTCCAACGTAGCAGGCGTAGAATTCGGACGTTCCTTCAAGGGGAGCCGCCAGGGAGCGCTCCGTCGCCACAGGCTCAGATTCTCACACTCAGATGCTCACAGACGGAAGCGCCAGGATCTGGTATGCACATAGGGGGGTCTAGGCGTTGAGTAATGTTTGAAAGCCCCAGGATGAACAAGGGCCGTCCTTGGGCAACCCAAGGAGGAGCCGCCAGGGGAGGGGACACTGGCCCGCTGTGGGGATGTCTCAGGCGACTTGCCTGTTTTGTAACGCAGACTCTTGCCTGTTGAGCGCCCCGTAACCACTGCGATAGAACAATCGTAGCCTTTGGGGCTACCGCTGGTTTCGCGGACGGCTTGTTCCACCCGGCTGTTTTCGCCCGGCTGGTTTCGCCGCCCGGCGAAACCAGCTCCGTCGGCGAAACCAGCCACCGTCGGCGAAACCAACTGCCGTCGGAGAAACCAGCTGCCGTTGGCGAAACTGCCCGAACCGTCCCGCCCGCTGGGGTCAGCCCGCCTGGCCCGACCCGCCCGTCAGGGTTCGCGCGTGCTCGGCCGAGCGCGCCCCACACTTTCATACCCCGCCCGTCCGCCCGACCCGAACAGCCCGTTAGGGTTCGCCCGCCCGACCCGACCCGACCCGCTCGCTAATTTCCACCCGCCCGACCCGACCCGCCCGTTAGGGTTCGCGAGTGCTCGGTCGAGCGTGCCCCACACTTCACTGTGCCGCCCGCCCGACCCGACCCGCCCGTCAGGGTCCGCCCGCCCGCCCCGACCCGACCCGCCCGCTAGGGTCCGCCCGCCCGACCCGACCCGCCCATCAGGGTTCGTGCATGCTCGGTCGAGCGCACCCCACACTTTACTGTCCCGCCCGCCCGAC